CTTTTCATGTGTCTTTTGGCCACCTGTATATTGTCTCTGGAAAAATTTTAATCGGATTATTTGGTCTTTTGATATTGAGTTATACGAGCTGTTTATATATTTTGGATATTAACCCCTTATCCATCATATCATTTGCAAATATTTTCTCCCATTCAGTAGGTTGCCTTTTCGTTTTGCCAATGGTTTCCTTTGCTGTGCAAAAGCTTTTAAGTTTAAGTAGGTCCCATTTGTTTATTTTGCCTTTGTTTATTTTGCCTTAGGAGACAGATCCAAAAAAATATTACTATGATTTATGTTAAAGAGTGTTCTGCCTATGTTCTCTTCTAGGAGTTTTATGGTTACAGGTCTTACATTTAGGTCTCTAATCCACTTTGAATTTATTTTTGTATATGGTGTGAGAAAATGTACTAATTTCATTCTTTTACATGTACCCTCTATTCTGTTTCATTGATCTTTGTGTCTGTTTTTGTGCCAGTACCATGGTGTTTTGATGACTGTACCTTTGTAGTATAGTCTAAGGTCAAAGAGGCATGATAACTCCAGCTTTGTTCTTTTTTCTCAAGATTGCTTTGGCTCATTCTTTTTATTTTTTTCTATTTTGACAAAGTATACATAACATAAATTTACCATTTTAACCATTTTAAGTGTACAGTTCAGTCACAATAAGTATATTCACATTGGTCTGCAACCATCACCACCATCCACCTCCAGAACTTTTTCATCTTCCCAAACTGAAACTCTGTTCTCATTCAACAATAACTCCCCATTGTCCTCTTCCCCCAGTCCCTGGCATCCACCATTCTACTTTCTGTCTCTGTGAACTTGACTACTATAGGTACCTCATATAAGTGGAATCATACAGTATCTGTCCTTTTCTGATTGGTTTCTTTCACGTATCTTCAAGCTTCATCCATGTTTGTAGCTTGTATCAGAATTTCCTTTTTAAAGCTGAATAATATTGCATTGTATCTACATACCACACTTTGCTTACCATTCATCCATAGTGGACAGTTGTGTTTCATCCATGTTTTAGCTGCTGTGAATAATGCTTCTATAAACATGGATGTAGAAAGATTCTTTTTTTTTTTTAAGATTTAATTTTATTTATTTTTGGCTGTGTTGGGTCTTCTTTGCTCTGCACGGGCTTTCTCTAGTTGTGGCAAGCAGGGGCTACTCTTTGTTGCATTGTGTGGGCGTCTCCTTGCAGTGGCTTCTCTTGTTGCGGAGCACAGGGTCTAGGCATGTGGGCTTCAGTAGTTGCAGCACATGGGCTCAGTAGTTGTGGCTCGTGGGCTCTAGAGCGCAGGCTCAGTAGTTGTGGTGCACAGGCTTAGTTGCTCTGTGGCATGTGGGATCCTTCCGGACTAGGGATCAAACCCGTGTCCCCTTCATTGGCAGGCAGATTCCCATCCACTGCACCACCAGGTAAGCCCCAAAAGATTGATTCTTCAAACAAGCATTCATGCCAAGCATGCAGCTCCCCTCTCTCAGCTTACATTATTTCATAGAGACATGCCACAATAAACATTATAAAATTCACAGTTAATGGATGCTTTCAGTGAATTTTCTTTAATATATCAAGTGTCTAGCTGACTCCTCATTAAGAAAAAGGAATTTACTACTGTTGGGGGCAAAATGTCTGTCCCATTTAGTGTCTCTGTCTGGGAGCAATGGCCTCCTGAATGTAAACTCAGTGCCAAAGCCAAAACATTAATTTGTGAAGCTCAAGAATTGATTTGATGACACTGTTCTCTTCCCCAATGCCATTTCTATCAAACCTCCTCTCCCCCTGCCTAAAAAAAAAAAAAAAAAAAGATATATCCAGGTGAGACCCAGACTCTCTCATTTAGTAAAATATACATGGGCCAAGGAATTCATATATTATATAAACGTGAGTTTCTCAGTAAGGTTACTCCAAATTATCCTGAGCACTGTAAGAGGATAACACTGAGAAATGATGAACCGTTCTATAACAAAAGGACAAGTATAGTTATGTGGTATTGCACCTTGGTTTTATTATCTGTAAACTATTATGTATACTCATGGTAGCTACCCTATGCCAGACACTACCTAAATGCTCTCTCTCCAGACCCCTCCTCCTCCACACCACCCCCACCCCACACATACATACACTATTGTTTCCTTTTTTTAAAACAGCCAGTCTTATGAATCCATTTCTTTTTTTTTTATTTTACTTATTATTTATTTATTTATTTTATCTATTTTTTGCTGCATCGGGTCCTGCTGTGGCACGCGGGATCTTTGTTGAGGCGTGCGGGATCTTTCGTTGCGGCAGGTGGGCTTCTCTCTAGTTGTGGCACCTGGGCTCCAGGGCACATGGGCTCTGTAATTTGCGGCACGCAGGCTCTGTAGTTGAGGCACTCAAGCTCAGTAGTTGTGGCGAGCAGGCTTAGTTGCCCCGCAGCATGTGGGATATTAGTTCCCTGACCAGGGATCGAACCGTGTCCCCTGCATTGTAAGGTGGATTCTTTACCACTGGACCACCAGGGAAATCCCATACACTATTGTTTCTTAAACTCTACGGGGTAGGTATTATTACCATCATTCCCATGGCACAAAAAAAAGAAGTTCAGAATGCCATCCAAGGTGACACAGTCAGTAAATAGGTAGCAAATCTAGGATTAGAACCCAGGTGCCCTAACCTCAGGATTTGTGCACTTAATCACTGTGTCTTTCTATCCCCTGAATTTGGGGGATTTACTCATATAAGTTCAGCATAATTTTGCAAATGAACCTGAGAAGAGCTGAGTTATTTCCTTTTTCAAGGAAATTATCCTTTGAAATTTTCTCCTGATTAGTGTTTCCTTTCACTCAAGTTATACTGTACTTGGCTCCATTTTATCTTCCACACAGACATTCCGTATTATTTCTCTCTCAGTGGTATTTACTACATTTTACACGTACCACTGGTATTTATAATTAGAGTACCATGCCTCCATTCTTTATCCTGCTTTTCAAAAATTAAAAAGTTTTAAAAATTTGAACATTATACCAAATTTTGATGAATCTCACTACATAATGTATGTTAAAACATTATTTTTATTACTTTTTGGTTTTCCCACAGTCCTGTAACTAATTTTTATTCAGTATATTCTTGCAGACTCAAGCCAGTTTAGATGAATTTACTACTGAGATCTGAAAAACAATTAAGTTGTTTTCAGGTTTTTTTTCCATCTTAACTCACTTACATGGAGGAAAATCTGTTCTCTGTTACAAGTCTATTGTAAACTCATAAACTGGTATTCATCAACCAAAACTGAAGGGGAAAATGAGACATATTATACTTTACATTGTATGCTCAGTGTTTGCTGGAAGTTAGGCAAGTGATGTTGTCCTCCAGGAAAGTATAAAAGTTGATTGCATTTCTACAGATATTGCTGGACAATAAATTTACAAAAAAGCCTGATGTTATTTAATCCTGATTATAACCATTACTTTATTTCTGGTGATTTCACAAATAGACTGAGAAAAATCGATGTTTATTTTTCTGTCCCAGTTTTATTAGGGCTTTGATAAGCTGAAACAAAAGATGGAGGCTAAAAAATCTCTGGGTTTTCAACCTGCTCACATTAAATTGTTCTTCCACGATTAGGCTTTAAGATGAAACTCATCTTCCACACCCACCAAAAACTTATGTTTCAGTTTTTTCCTGGAAGATTGGACACCTTTTCTGCATCTAAAAGGGGGCTAAACACAAGTTTTGCACAGCACAAAGAAATTTTTTCCAAGATGGACTAATACTCATACGTTTGGAAACAGTTTTTAAACTTTTAAATGGTAACTTATTTCAAACAAACTATAAACAATTTTTAAAAGAACTTTTTTTATACATTTGGGCACCTGCTGCCTTTATCACCATACATAGTCCATGCTTTAATCATCCAAATCTATAAATGGAACTGTGGCCTGAACCCTGATGCTCACCAGGACTCCAGGACTACCATCTGTTGACCAGTGTCTTCTTTCCCCTCAGGTACAGGCTCTAAGGGTGAAGTCTCAGGTGATGGATAAAAGGACTCAAGAACTAAGAATACCAGAGAAAAACTAGAAGAGTGAGGTTTCGTTTAAAGATGTAAAAAGATGAAGAATCGGTTAAGAAGAAGAAGAAGAAAAGGCCCCTTCCCTCTGCAGAGGCAACCACACATCTGAAGACAACTGTGGATTGGAAACCATCCCCAGGGCAACCCTGGGAGTCATGTAACCATGTGTTGAAAACTCCTGAGTCACTGGGTCACCACTGGACAACTGAGAGAGCTCTGGGAATCATCAGCAAATACATGATGACTGTGCCCACGTATTTGGAAAATGTCTAAACGCCCTCCAGTTCACTTCTGAAAAACCTGCCATATAGATAGAGGAAAAGAGCTACTACTGTCGCAGCAGTAATCTCTACTTCCTCCTTCCATCGTTCACACTGAGGCCGAAAGTGGCAGGTGCAACTTCTGAGAGGCACCTGTGGAGGCAAACCAGCAACCCCGATTACCAGGTGAAGAGTCCATCTGCAGGTATGATCAGGGGCCCTCTCCCTGCCAATAGAACCTTGCAAGCCTTCTTTTATTGGAGGTCCATCAGAACAGTTTCTAGGAATACCAAGTTTTCCTAAAGCATTTGTTAGAACAGCGAGACGCGGGATGCCCTTACATCCTGGGAGGCTTCCCCGAGAATGTGCGACTGCTGTTGACAACCAGGGTGGTGAAGCCACAGCCAGGACACGCAGGGTGCACAGCGGTCTCGGGGACAGTTGGGCGTGGCTTTCCGGCGGGTGGGCGGGGTTTGGGAGGGAGGAGCCACCAGGCTCGCTCGGTTATCCCTGGAAAAGACCAGCGCGCCCCACAGCAAGGACGCGCGGCAACCCTGAAAGGCGAGCAGGAACGGACTGAGTTCTGTGATAGGAGGGCAGAGAGGCTGCTGTGGCACCCTCCTGCCCGCACCCTTGGCCAGGGATCAGCGACGCCTTCGTCCTACCTGCGGCAGTAGCGATGCTTGACGGAGTCCGGGTGCTGACGCTGGCATTGATGCTCCTGGCCGCCGGGAAAGGTCGGCCAGGTAGGGCGCTGGCGTTAAGGCAGCGCAGGGGCGCCACCTGGGCCTTTGGAGGAGGGAGGCTAACTTCCCGGATGACACGTGGAGCGTGCCTGTGCATCTTTATGGCCGCATCTAATACTTGTCCCATACCAACCTCCTCCCTGTCCTACCGCCTTCTTTGAAATGGTCACTTTACAGCCTTGGCACTCTTCAGTTTTCCTTTGTGCACAGGCGACTGTTGCCTCCTATTTTTCTGCTCTTAAGACCCTCAGTCACTTTTTTGTTCCTTTGTTTCCTGCTGATATCCGCTCCTTAAGGTCCCTTTATTACCATAAGAAACTTTTGCTGTATCTTCCAGGCATCCTAGCGACAAATGGATCTGAAATATCCAAAAGGAGTTCAGTTCCAAACTGCACGATTTCTGCACCACTCCCTCCCGACCCCCGGAAATAATAAATTGATTAGCATTTTACCCCTACAATAATTCAGTAAGTTTTGTGTATGATATCTTAAGTTTTGTGTATATCTCTTAGAATCAGTTTTGCTACTGTAAAAGAGATCTCTGAGGAGCGAGTAGCTCCCCTCCCACTTCAATCCACGACGAAGAACACATGGTTGAAAACGCTGTGAAGTTAAAACAATATTCCTTAGCCCTTCCTGATGGTTTTGTGTTCACACGCATAGGAACATTAAATGAAAGGTGACTTGCTCTTATAAGTTTCCTTATGTTTTTCAGAAATAAATCTGATCTGTGTAAAACTACCCACAGCTTTAAAAAAGAGATTGTGTGCAACATTTATAAGTGTTCAGGATATAATTTTATTTTATCATCTTGTTGATCTTAATCTAGTTTGCTAAGGTAAGTTTGCTCTGTAAAAGAGGAAGGGAGAGCAGCATTCACCCTTAAAACTGTACAAAGAATATTAGAACACAATTATTTCCTAAAATGATAGACCTCAACAAGCTAGCATTGATCTGTGCCATCTTTGGTTGCTTACACATTAACTAGATCTTCATGAAGAACTTTTCAAAACATACATGTAATAATATATAATATGTACTTAACAACAGTTAGACGATATGTTTCCAGAAAAATGACCAATATTTATAAAGGAATTTACTTCAGTGTTTACTACAGATCACATAACGACTTCTTGCCCTATATAATAGCCTTGTAATCTCTCTACTAAAGGTGACTATTAACCATTGCCATGTTCTAAGCTCCTATTGTGGTAAAGTTGATAAAAAAGTTTATGCTAAACTTCTTTATGTTAATGTAGTAGAGATAAAAGTGGAGACAAATGGAGCATACTAGATTTTTTCAAATAGCTTTATTAAGATATAGTTCATATATCATACAAATCATTCATTTACAGTGTACAGTGGTTTCTTACAGGACACAGTGATCTATGGGTTTATGTATATTCAAAAATATGTGCAACCATTACTATAGTCAATTTTAGAACATTTTTATCACCTTGAAAAGAAACACCATACTCTAGCTCTCCTCCCCTTATACCCTCCTTCACCCTCTCCACCCTCCCAACTATAAGCAATCACTAATCTACTTTCTGCTCTATAGATTTACCTCTTCAGGATATTTTATCTAAATGGAATCACATGACAAATTGTCTTTTGTGACTGACTTCTTTCATTTAGCATAATGTTTTCAAGGTTCCTCATGTTCTAACACGTATCAGTACTTCCTCTCTTTTTGTGATGGAATAATATTCCATTATAAGTACATACCACGTTTTGTATATAAATCGATCAGTTGGTGAACATTTGGATTGTTTTTACCTTATGGCTATTGTAAATAATGCTGCTGTAAACATCTGGGTATAAGTTTTTGTATGGACACATTTTCATTTCTTTTAGAAATATACCTAGGAGTGGAGTTATTGGATCATAGGGTAACTCTGTGTTTAACCATTTCAGGAATAGCCAGACTGTTTTCCAAAGTGGCTGCACTGTTTTACACTCCTGCAGCAGTGTACAAGGGTTTTAATTTATCCACAGCCTCGTCAGCACTTGTTATTATCTGAAAAAAAGTTTTTTTATCTGAAATTTTTATTCTAGCCATTCTAGTGGGTGTGAAGTGACATCTCATTGTGGTTTGATTTGCATTTCTCTGGCGGTCAATGATGTCAGCAATTTTTCATGTGTTTATTGAACATTTACATATCTTCTTTGGAGAAATACCTATGCAAATACTTTGCCAATTTTTTAATTGGGTCATTGGCCTTTTTGTTATTGAGTTGTATGTGTTATTTGTATAGTCTAAATACAATTATCTTAGCAGACATGTGGATTTGCAGTTATTTTCTCCCATTCTGTGGGTTGTCTTTTCACTTCCTTGGTAATGTCCTTTGAAGCATGGAAGTTGCTAATTTTGATGAAGTCCAGTTTGCCTATCTTTTGTTGCTTGTGCTTTGTTGTCATATCTTGAAATCCATTGCCAAATCTACAGTCATGAAGATTTACCCCAATAGTTTTCCTAAGTCTTTTAGTTTTAGTTCTTGTATTTTGGTCTCCGATCCATTTTGAATTAACTTTGTATATGGTATAACCAAAGGGTCCAATTTCATTATTTTGCACGTGGATATCCAGTTTTGTTGAAAAGACTGTCATTTCCCCATTGACTGATCTGGGCACCCATCTCAAAAATCAGTTAAAAACCATAAGTACATGGGTTTATTTCTGGAGTGTCAATTTTATTCACCAATCTATGTCTCTCCTCATGCCACCACTAAACTTTCTTGATTACTATAGCTCTATAGTAAATTTTGAAATGAGAAAATGTGAGTCCTCCTGTTTTGTTCTTCTTTTTCAAGATTAGTTTAGCTATTCTGGTCCCCTGAAATTCCATATGAATTTTACAATTAGTTTGTCATTCTTTACAAAAGAGTCAGCTAGTATTCTGTTAGGAGCTGTGATGAATCTGCATGTAAATCTGGGGAGTATTGCCAACTTAACAACATTACATTTTCAGATCCACAAACATGGATGAATTTCCATTTAAATACTTAGGTCTTTAATTTCTTTCAACAATGTTTGTTATATTCAGAATATAAGTTTTGTGCTTTTTTTAAATTTATCCCTAAGTATTTGTTCTTTTGAAACTATTATAAATGGAATTGTTTTCTTAATTTCCTTCCTAGTCTATTTACTGCACGTTTAAGAATATAATTAACCACCCTAAGGCCCATAAAACTTTGGGCAACTCCCAGTTTCTTCCTTTGTGAAATAGAAAAGGTAATAACCTTGCCGGCTTATTTTAACACAGCAAATGTAGAAAGCATCTACTATGTGTAGGCATTATTCTAAGCACTTTAAAATACATTACCCACATTAAATCATTTAATTCTCACAATACCCACAGGATAAGTATTATTATTACCCTATTTTACAAGTAAGAAAACTGAGTCACATATATGCTAGGCCATTTACCCAAAGTCACATACTATTAAGTAGCAGAGCCAGACTTTGAACACATGCAAGGTGGCTTCAGATTCTAACATCCTTTAACTATTGGGCTATCTCTACTGCCCCTAGTGAATGAAATAGCATATGTTCACACAAAAATTTGTTCATTAAGGTCCACTTCAGCATTATTCATAATAAGCATAATAACCAAATGCCCATCAAATGATGAATGGGTAAACAAAATGTGTTATATCCAGTGGAATACTATTTGGCCATAAGTAGGAATGAAGTACTGTAACATGGATGAAACTTGAAAACATGGTAAAGCCAGAGACAAAATGTCACATATTATATAATTGCTTTTATATAAAATGTCTAGAGTAGGTAAATCCATAGAGACAAAAAAAATTAGTGGTTGCCAGTGGCTGGAGGTAGAGGGGAATGGGCAGGAGTGACTGCTAATGATACAGGTGTCTTTCTGGGGTGATGAAAATGTTCTAAAATTGATTGTGGTATACAACTTTGTGAATATGCAAAAAAAAAAAAAAAAACACCCCATACTGAATTCTACATTTAGAAATGGTAAATTTTATGGTATGTGAATTTTAAAAAAAGAATAAAATCACATTTTGCATCTTGATTTTATATCCTAAAGCCTTGCTGAACTTGTTCACTAGTGTTAATATTTTGTGTTTTTAGTGGATTCCTTAGGATTTTTACATAAAAAATTAGGTCATCTGTGAATAAAGATAGCTTTACTTCTTTCTTTCCAATCTGGATATCTTTATTTATTTATCTTGCCTAGTTGTCCTGGTTACAACCTCAAGTACAGTGTTGAATAGAAGTGGTGAGAGTGGATGTCCTTGTCTTGTTCCTGATCTTATGAGAAAGCATCTAGTCTTTCTCCATCAGGTATGTTGTGGCTACGGGGTTTTTTGTAGATTTCCTTTATTGGGGTGAGCAAATGCCCTTCTTCTGTTCCTAGTTTTTTATCATAATGTGTTAGATTTTTTTCAAGTGATTTTTCTGTGTCTATTGAGAAGCACATATGGATTTTGTTTTTTATTCTGTTAATATGGTATATTACCTTAATTCATTTTTGGATGTTGAATCAACCTTGCATGCCTAGGATAAATCCTACTTGGTCATGGTTTATAATTCTTTATCTGTATTTCTGGATTTGATTTGCTAGTATTTTGCTGAGGACTTTTGTGTCTATATTCAAAAGATACATTGGTTCATAGGCTTTTTTTTCCTGCGATATCATTTTCTGGCTTTGGTATCAGGGTAATACTGGGCTCATAGAATGAGTCTGGAAGTATTCCATCTTTTTCTATTTTTTGGAAATGTTTGTGAAGAATTGGTATTATTCTTTAAATGTTAGGTAGAATTGAACATTGATGCCATCTAGACCTGGCCTTTTCGTTTTGGATCTTTCTTTTTTTTTTTTTACTGATTCAGTCTTTTCACATGATATAAATCTATTTGGATTGCTTACTTTTTCTTGAATCAGTTTTGTACTTTGTCTTTTTAGGAATTTCTCAATTTTATATAAGTTATCTAATGTACTGGCATGCAACTGTAATAGTATTCCTTAATAAGATCTGTAGTAGTGTGCCCTGTTTCATTTTGATTCTAGTAAATGAGTCTTCCCTCTTTTTTTCTCAGCAAACCTAGAAGTATGTCACCTTTGTTGATTTTTTTCAAAGAACCAGCTTTTGGTTTCATTGATTTTTCTCTACTGTTTTTCTGTTCTCAATTTCATTAATGTCTTCTTTAGTTTTTAAAATTTCTTACCTTCTTCCTTTAGATTTAGTATGTTCTTCTTTTTCCAGCCTTCAGGCGAAAGATTAGTTCATTATATTGGGATCTTTTTCTTTTTTAATATAGGCATATATATCTATAATTTTCCTCTAAACACTACTTTAGCAGCATCCCATAAATTTTGGTGTGTTGTATCTTTCTTTTAATCCTTTTCAATGTATTTTCTCATTTCTATTTTCATTTCTTTGACCTCTTGCTTTTCTAGGTTGTTTAATTTCCATGTATTTGTAAGTTTCTTAAATTTCTTTCTGCTACTGATTTATATATTCATTCTATTGCAGTCAGAGAACATACTTTGTATAATTTTTATCTTTTCAAATTTATTGAGGTTTGTCTTATGGTCTAATGTATTGTCCATCCTGGAAAATGTTCCATGTGCACTCCAGAAGAATTTATATTCTGCTGTTGTTGGGTAGAGTGTTCTATAGATGTCCGTTAAGTCAAGTTGGTTTACAGTGTGTTGTTCTGGCTCTGTTTCCTTGATGATTTTCTGCCCATTTTTCTATTCATGTTGAAAGTGGAGTATTGAAGTCCCCAACTATTACTCTTGAAGTATGTATTTTTTTTCCCTTTGTTTCTCTCAGATTTTGCTTCATGTATTTTTGTGCTGTGTTATTAGGTGTATATCTTCCTCATGGATTGAAACTTTTATTGTTATAAAATGTCTCTCTTTGTCTCTAGTAACATTTTTTTTGTTTTAAGATATTTTTGTCTGATATTAGTACAGCCAGTCCAGTTTTCTTGTGGTTACTGTTTGCATAATGTTATTGTCCATCCTTTTACTTTCAGTCTATTTGTATTCTTTTCAAGAGCATTCATCCTTTAATATATAAAGGATGACAAAGTAAAGAGACTTAGCAAGTCCATCACTCTCTATTTGACCTTGCTTTTCAGCCTTTTGTGTTGTTGCAGAATCCATAATACAATTTTGAATATCAGAAGCTTAATGATTAACTTTTTATTTCTCACTGAATTTGGAGCTAAAAGGTGGTTTTTCTCTTTTCCACATCTTTGGGGAAGTTATACAATTTTTTAAAATTCACAGATATTTGAAATTCCCATAGAGCAATATACCAAAGGTTTTATAATTATAAACTCAGATATTATGAAGTGCCTGTCTTTAGGCATTAAGCGTATTCATCTCTTAAAAATACAATAATTTATTTAGTTTCTTAACATATTTGTCTGTCACCCAATTATGAATCTTAAAGCATACTAGTCTTAGCCGGTGTATTAACCAATGTATTAATCTAATACAGGTTACTTATACCTACAAACAAAACTAGAAAACTATTTGCATATTGTATCATTATGTATCTATTATTTATAACTTGACACGTTTTCCCAAAGTATCTGAAATGCAAATATTGCAGATTCTATTATATACTACCTAGCTTCTTTAAATCCTATTGAGAAGAAGACAGAATAAATAGAAATGTAAATGTTAATGTGTATTTTATATGTACTTTTGTTTTGAGGGAAAAAATTTTTATTGGACATCTGCTAGAAAGCTTTGCACATCATTCATGTCATGAAATTGACTGATGTGTGAAATGGGCTTGTAGAGTTATTCTTTTAGTACTTCAGGAGCTAGGCCCCCAGATTCCCAAATGGGAGCCCAAACCAGCCATAGTTAACTATATCCTCCCTTCTAGAGTTAAGGTTGTAATGAGATTTTTAAGAGTGTGGCTTATTCATTGCTAGTAAGATTTAAATTTTTCTACAGAGACCTTGAACATTTAATGAGTGACAAGTCGAGTTGGAGGGAAAAATTGTGAAATAAATGATACAAAATATGAGCTATTATTAATTATACAAATTAAGAATTTTCCTCTAAAATTAATATTAAATAAAAATTTTTAATTTCTGTTTAAATATTATACAGTTCTTAGTATTGTTGATGTCACACTGTGATTGCTTCTACATTTATGACATCTTTAGCTTTGGATTAGAAAACAGTTATTCAAAGCAGCAAAATCAGAGGAAATGTGAGAACTTCAGAAGTGCTTAGCAAGGAGAAATACTGCACAGAATAAAGATGGAGTTACTGACTTTTTTCCCAAGACAAAATTCTGTTTTAGGATAAGATCAGAGAAAATATCTCAATAATTTATACAAACCTCACTAGTAATCTCTTTTAAAATATTTTCCATAGTTTCTAACCATGTGCAATCTTCTGATATTGACAGGGGGTTAGAATTATTTCAAAATTAAATGAAATGATAGCACATCCTCTGACTTCTACCCACATACATTTTATAAAATATTCATCTAGTGTTGACAAATTGAGATTGTCTAAGTCAATAGAGCCTTTTGGGACATTTATAACTGGTGAAACTAGAGATAAAAGGAAGAAGAACCTTTTGTGGTCATTCCTAAAATCTTTTACTAAAAAAAATTCTTTAGGGAGATCTTTTATCTTGCAAAACAATACCTTTTTTACAGTTTAATTGCTGTAACTACAAACAAAATAAAAAGCAAAAACCTATATAATAAAGACAATTTTATAAGCTACATTTGTGAGACTGACATGCAAATTATTATCTCTAGTTTATTGTGCTCCTTATTAATTTGTTTGGAAACTGATTTTTGTTCATAAACTGTGTAACTTAAAATTATGTAATAAACATTTGAGAGTTTTGTTCAGTTAGATAGATTTTTTTCCATAGTGAGGTACTTTAGTAATGATTAAATTTTTCTTTCCCATTTCTATTTCAAAGATATTATCTTTACTATAGTGTTTTCCTTGAACAAATACAATATCTAATATTGGGAGATTTTCTGCCTATTGTGTCAATAAGACACTCCAAATAAGGACAGTTCCATGTGTTTCTTAATATTAGGGAGACAGCAGCCTCAAACAGGAGCTATATTTCCAGGATAACTGTTTTTATTGCCTCCTCTTCTCTTCTCTCTTCTTGCTGGGAAGAGATACTTTATGTTCTCTCTCTGCGGATTTGACAGAAAAAAGGTATCTTCCAGGCCAACTACTGCTCAGAAAATGGCTTTCCTAAAAAGTCTACAGAACTAGCTCTTTCTCCATGTTATTTTTCTTGTTCTTCCTTCAAAACTGTTCCCCTCTACCCCATTCATTTTCCTATGCTTAGAAATGAAAATGAACTTCACTACTTTTATATTTAAAAATAAGAAAAAATGTGAAAACTTTATATTTTTTCCTGCAGTAAAAAAATGCAGGAAACTTCACTAGGAGGGCATTTTACAAAAATTATATTAGCATTAAAAGTTTGGTTTAGTTTGTTGCATTCCAGGACCTGGCAGAGATGGGATTTGGGGGGGCACATGGCTACTGTGGCAGAAAGCAGGTCATGGAGGGTCAGTAATTGCATTCAAATCTGCAGGATCACTCTCAAGAGGAGTCCTTTAAGGCCTATGCCTTCTGATGGTAGGAATAAACAAATCCTGACTCAACAGCAATCAGCAATTTTGCCTGTCCAAATTAAACGAAAATAAAGTCCTTGAAGCTCAAATACCTCAAAAATACATTCTAAAGAGTTTGTTGATTGGCTTATTTTATTTATGGAAAGTGCATATTGTCATCTTTGTTTTACTAAGAGATCATGACATTTCAGATGGCCTTTACGTGCACTTGTAGGTTTATTTGCTCTGTTTTTGTTTCAGTAGTCAGTTTTAATCGAGGGCTGAACTATGTCAATGAAGAAAATACATAATATCATCTGTCTTTCCATTCTAGCTCAGAAGTGCTCTCCTGGGGGACACCAGTTTCTTCAGAGCCCTTATAGAAGTGTCCATTTTGACTCCCTGCGCCTCCAGCAATTAGCCATTCAAGACCTGATATGTCACCACTCCCTTTCTCCCTGATGGTATCGATTTCTCCTCTTTGACAGACCTGCTAAGATGCCAACCAAATGTGTTGAGGTATCAACTCACTAATGTGAACTACACGTGCTTTTTCTTAAGTATTTTTTCATATAAGGATTGAATCTTGTTACAACCAATTTATTTCTCACGCTGCAATATTATTTTAATTTTGCATCAAGATTAAGTTAATCAAAGGGAGTATTCCAAGGTTCTCTATTCTGACAATAATAGTAATAGTTAATGTAATGTTCAACAGTCCACCAAGTGTTTTAACTTACAATATCTTATAGAAGACAGTCTATCATCGTGATTTCCACCATATAATACAGAAAACATATTTTTAGGCATAACACACCTAGAGTCACCTGGATAGCAGGTCAGACAGCCAAGTTTTGATCACAGGCTGTCACTCTCCAGGGCTCAGGTACTTAACCTCAGTAACTTTCAAACAGTAAAATACTGCATATTTTAAGTGCTTCAGTTCTTGTCTGCTTAATAGAAGGATTATGTCTTAATAGAAGGCTCATTTTCCTTATCGATACCCACATTTTAAAAATTATGCAGAAGGGCTTCCCTGGTGGCGCAGTGGTTGAGAGTCCGCCTGCCGATGCAGGGGACACAGGTTTGTGCCCCGGTCCAGGAAGATACCTGCGCGTCCGGAACCTGTGCTCCGAAACGGGAGAGGCCACAACAGTGAAAGGCCCGCGTACCGCAAAAAAAAAAACCCTAAAAAACAACTCCCTTCAAAACACGTTCAGAAACAAGTTTTACATTAAACAAAGTTTATGCCATGTCTTAAGAAAAATATGCTTATAATTTGACAAAATGGGGTGAAAACACTGTCAAAAATCTCACTCCAGGGGCGAAAGGGGTAAGACACATCTACAAATATTTTTTTTTAATGTTACAAAAGAACTTATTTACAAAACAGAAATAGACCCACAGACATAGAAAACAAACTTATGGTTACCAATGGGGAAAGGAGGGAGATAAATTAGGAGTTTGGGATTGACATATACACAGTACTATATATAAAATAGATAACTAACAAGGACCTACTGTACAGCACAGGGATCTATACTCAATATTTTATAATAACCTATAAGGGAAAAGAATCTGGAAAAGAATATATTTATAGATGTATAACTGAATCACTTTGCTGTATGCCTGAAACTAACACAACATTGTGAATCAACTATACTTCCATTTAAAAAATAAATAAAAAATAAAATACCACATATCAGTGATTGAAATTGTTCTCAGTTGATAGAAGGATTTGGAAAGAGTTGTCAACTTTAGGATACTGAGTCTTCCAATCCATTAATACAGTATGCTCCTCTACTTATTCAGATTTTCTTTAACATTGTTCATGAAGTTTCATAATTTTCACCTTAAAGGTGTCTTATACCTTTTAATTTATTCCTATTTGTATTTTTATTGGCACTATTGTAAATACTATATTTTTTTTAAATTTGCTTCCTAACTGGTACTACTGTATAGAATTATAGTTGATTTTACATTGATTTTTGTACCTAGCAAACTTGCTAAATTCCCTATAATTCTCTATATATTCTTTTGCATTTTCAACAGAGCCAATCTTATCATCAGAGAATAATAAAAGTTTATTTCTTCCTTTCAATCCTTATAAATTAAAAATTATTCTCACCTTACTATATTGGTTAGGGTTTCCAGGAAAACGTTGAATAGAAGAAGTGATTATAGCTATACACATGGCAGTTTTTGTTTAGCACCACAAAAGACTGCTGTCTTTTTCAAATCCCAGTGTCCGTAATAAACTGTGGAATATTTTTTGTGTACTTACTACAACCCACTCAGGGATATATGGGATATTGTGCAGAAGGTAAGAAAACATGTGTAATACACATGAACTGCTAGTGATGGAACTCTGTGTGTTGGTGTGTTTGTGCCATCCTCTGGATGGGATGTATGGAGTTAATGCAAATCTCAGTAAGAGATTTGGTTTGCTATTATTGCTAAAATGAGGCTAAATTTCTGGTTTAAATTGGCCAGATTTGTTCAGGGTTCTTTGCCAAGATGTTCAAATCCTCAAAAATATTTGTTAATGTGAAAGTATCAACAGTTAATATCAGCAGTGATAATGTATACTGATACCATTTATCTACTAATAACACTCAATAAGAAGGACACTTCTCCTTTGTTGTATTCTTCCTCAAAGTCATAATCCCAGTCTAATCATGATCAAATTCATATAAACCCAAATTGAGAAACATTCTACAAAATATGTGAATAGTACTATTCAAAAGTGTCAAAATCATGGAAAACCATGAAAGAGTAAGAAATTGTCAAATATTGGAGAGGACTAAGGAAACATGAGTAATACATTATGAAGATATCCTGGATTGGATAACTGAAACAGAAAAGAACATTCATGGAAAACTGATAAAAACTGAACAGAGTCTTCAGTTTATTTAAGAGTAGAGTCCTAAAGTCAATTTCTTAGTTTTTTGGGTTTTTTTTTTGCGGTACACAGGCACCCCACTGTCGTGGCCCCTCCCGTTGTGGAGCACAGGCTCCGGCCGCGCAGGCTCAGCGGCCATGGCTCACAGGCCCAGCTGCTCCACGGCATGTGGGATCCTCCCGGACTGGGGCACGAACCCGTGTCCCCTGCATCGGCAGGCGGATTCTCAACCACTGCGCCACCAGGGAAGCCCCAAAATTGATCAAACTTTTAATAACTGTGTTGCTTTTATTAATGAATGGAGGTAAGAAAGTAACATTTTCGTTTGTTATTGTATTAATATTTGACTTAACATGAGTGGTGGGTGACTTAACGCTCTGCTTTTTTTGCAACACGTTACTGAGAAAAAATTGTTCTTGTCCAAATTACTATTCTTTTCTGTTTTCCATCTGGAAGGATTTTACCAGGAAAAAGCATGTTTGACACAATGCCAGTTTCTCTGCCATCACCTAGAAAACAATCCTATTGTAGCTGCTCAATGGACACTACTTCATTGTATCCATCTTCTAATCATCTGGAAAGTGTTTCTCAATCAGAGATTGTTTCAGCTTGCAAAGACCCCAAACATGTCAAATTCGCTTCCTTGATAAGAGCTAGATGTCACCTCTGAATATATTAATTCAGAAACTCCTGTCAGAGGAATAAACAAGCATACATCTCCAGAAAAAAATAATTTGGATTTCTTTCCTCAAGAAAAAAAGCATGTGAATCGAACCAATCTGGACTTAAATTTACAAAAACATCCTGGGAATGAAAAACAAGATGCATCAAAAACTTTGGACAAGGGGAGACATACACAGGACCAGGGTAATCACAGCCAAGAAACAAGGTGGGATCGACAAAACAGATGGAAACAGCAAAACTTCAGTGAGTTTCTTCCTTTGTTTGCTTTTCAAAGTCTCAGCCAAAATGACCTAGAAGAGATTACTTAATTTTTCCCCGAGGACCGTACTGAGGATGTCCACCAGGAGTTTGTCCCCATGTGGCCCACACCATCTGGCCACACCGAATACAGCACATCAGCACTATGTCAGCACACTCTTGCCAACTCCAGCATAGGAATGCACTGTCTTGCCTTTCTTGGGTGTGATAGAGATGTGTTTTAAGGATGTTCTCCTAAAAGATGATCTTAGCTGGGCAGAAGCAGGTGTGGCCCTTTTAGAAAATGAATGTGAAAAGAGGATTTTGGAAGAGGGGAAATATAACAGAGAAGAATACAGTAAGTCAATTAAAGACATTTTTTTGTCATTAAAATTCCCCAATTTATGCAGTGGCCATGGGCAGTGTATGGAATGGGGGTGTGCATGCTCCCCAGGCTTTAGTTCCTATGATTGCAGTGATTCACACAGTAAGTAAATACACTCCAACTTTGATCTTGTGTATGTTATTTAATTATGAAACCTTCTTTGTTCTTTTTTACCTTCAGTATCCTAACAGGCTTTATTCAGATTATATATGGAAAAGAACTCAAATTATATTAATCAATATGTTAATAATATTCCAAAACAGTCTCATCTTAGAATAAAAGCTGAAGTACTTATAATGGCCTATAAGACACAACGTGATCAGGCACACAATATCTCTTGAGACTCATCCCCTACTACTATCACCCTCACTCATTCCACTCCACCCACTTTGGTTTCTGTGCTGTTCCTTACAATGCCAGTTCTCTTGATCTCAGGGCCTTTGCACATAGCTGATCCCTCTACTTGCAGAGGATAATCATTCTTCTAGAACTCAAACTTAATATTTTTAAAGCACTGTTTATATTTTGCTAATTTTACTAATATGCTTAACTTTTTTCTCTAACCTATCTAAATGGTACAAATTATTTTGTCCCAATATATTAGAGAAAGACATTTCAAAAAGTCAATTTGATTCTCTTAACTATTAAACCAGTAACTCCTGATTTTGCTCCTACCACCACCAATCTGCCCTTTTCCATCTCAGTAAATGCAAACTTCATTCCTCTAATTGTTCACATTAAAAACGTGTAGTCACTTTGACTTTTCTTTTTATATCAAGCCTCATGTTTGATCCATTAGCAGCAAATCCAACTCTAGCTTCAAAGAATTTCATATCTTTCCCTGCTATCAACTTAGTCCAAGCCACTATTCTCTCTCCCTGGATTATTATAGATTCTCTCAAAGTTTATTCTTCATGCAGCAGCTAAAGTGATTCCTTTGAAATGTAAGTCAGATCGTATTACTCCCCTGCTTAAATCCCTCTGTTAGCTCTTCATCTCCTTCAGCATAAAATTGGCAGGCCCTACTATGGCTATGGCCTAGAAGATTCTATGTAGTCTGAGACTCCTCTCTCACTGAATTCATCTACCACTGTCTCCATAGGTCATTACTTTCCAGAGTTCTCTAGTGGTTGCTTTGCTGTTCCTCAAAAAAGGCCAAGCCTGCTTCTACCTCGGGACATTTGCACTTGCTGCTCCCTCTCACTGGCACGTTCTACCACATATCCTCATGACTGACTTCCTTCTCTTCTCTATTCAAATATCATATTATCATAGAATCCTTCCATCGTCATTCTAAATAGTTTTTCTCACACAACCCCATGGCCTTTATCTCCCTTAATATAGTTAATATACTTTTTCCCCATTACATAAAAAACGCTTATGTGATACACTTTATATTTATTTTTTCATTGGTTTATTTTTTTGTCCTCCCATATTAGAATGTAAGTTACATGAAGGCAGGGACTATTTTGTTCATTATATATCTCCAATATTTGGAATAACACCAGAAAAACAGAAGTTGCTCAGTAAACATTTGTTGAATATATGAAAGAATAATACGTGTTTTTAAAATTTTTTGTAAATATTTTAGGGTTCTGAATACATGTAACAGGATTTTTATATCCTATTGCTATTAAAGTTATATTCACTTGGATTTTGCCACTACTTAGACAAAGGACTCAATTGTTTTTATACTGCATTTATCTATTTTGACCACCAGATCTTGCTCATAGAGATAATGAATGATCTTACCAAGACCAGAACCACAGAAATAACCATATGAAGGTCAGTTAACTCTGACTGATAAAAGAAATTTTTTCTCCTATGACTGAGAAGTACACCTAAGATTATGGTAGCATGTAGGACAGCAATAATACACAAAAATATCAACAATACTGGGACAACAGCATGCACAAATTTTGATAATTCTTTTCTAAAACAAATTAAAAAAAAGAATTTTAATACATCACATTGCTAAGTACACTATATTATTACAAAAGCACTTTTTCTATAACCTATCTCTATGACATAAAGCAAAATGGTAAAACCAAAACATAGGCCATGGTAGGAGTAATTTGTTAGTACTCGCACTTATTTGGTATCAAATATTATTAAAAAATTAATTAAACCTGTATAGTTAGGCACTGGTAGTATCTGTAATGCTATTTCTATTGAGTTGAATAGTAGGTAACACTTCTTTTAATACCAGATCACTCTTAACATGTAATAGTTTAATTAATGTACTAAATATTATTGGGGGTAGACTTTAAAATATTAGTTTATATACGCATTTAATTTTGGCCTTGAAAAATAATTAGTTTTTTTTCTGGAATTAAAGCAAATATGTCCTATTTTAAAATCGTTTTTTCCAAAGACAAGGTTCCTGAAATTATAGAACTTGAGAATGCTGGTTTGTGTAATATTCAAAAATATAACTGTATGATGGTGAGAGTTTTTGGTCAAGGCTTCAAAGAATCACCTTCAATTAAATGTGAAGTTACTAAACTGAAGGTATGTTAATTATAATGTTGAAAACAATTAAGTTTATGAGTTATTCAGATTAATTTTCTTAGATTAATTTGGAGTATCAATTAGCAACATAATCCCAAAGGATGTCATATCCTCAGAGAGCTGAACAGGAAAATTATTAAGTTGCTTAACCTTAAATCTTCCCTATTTGCCAACTCTATTAAACTGTTTTATATAATTTTTATTGAGGTATTGACTCACTATTTAAGCCATAATCAGAAATTAAAATAATATCAAACTTGATATATAAGCTTCTGTATTTACTGAAATGTAAAAACACAAAGAATGGAGGTCATTTTTATCTAAGACTCTGCATGAATTATAGGATTTAGAGATAGGAACAATTCCCTTTTACAAACCAAAAAGTTCGGACAAATTGTGCTCATCCTTTATATTTCCTTTACTATGGATTTCATATGGGAGAATTACCAAAAAAAACACAAAAAACTGTTTTTCTTTCTTGAGACCACCAAAGACAGACATGATCACTCAGTTTGAACATTGGTGTATCAAATTACACTTTTTTTTTTAACATCTTTATTGGAGTATAATTGCTTTACAATGGTGTGTTAGTTTCTGCTTTATAACAAAGTGAATCAGCTCTACATATACATATATCCCCATATCTCTTCCCTCTTGCGTCTCCCTCCCACCCTCCCTATCCCACGCCTCTAGGTGGTCACAAAGCACAGAGCTGATCTCCCTGTGCTATGCGGCTGCTTCCCATTAGCTATCAGTTTTACATTTGATAGTGTATATAAGTCCATGCCACTCTCCCACTTTGTCACAGCTTACCCTTCCCCCTCCCCGTGTCCTCAAGTCCATTCTCTAGTAGGTCTGCGTCTTTATTCCCGTCCTGCTCCTAGGTTCTTCATGAACATTTAAAAAAATTTTTAGATTCCATATATATGTGTTAGCATACGGTATTTTTCTCTTTCTGACTTACTTCATTCTGTATGACAGACTCTAGGTCCATCCACCTCACTACAAATAACTCAATTTCGTTTCTTTTTATGGCTGAGTAATGTTCCATTGTATATATGTGCCACATCTTCTTTATCCATTCATCTGTTGATAGACACTTAGGTTGCTTCCATGTCCTGGCTATTGTAAATACAGCTGCAATGAACATTTTGTACACCTTATTTTTGATGATTATTTATATGGTCTTCCTTTTCTTTATTTAAGTGGAATTTTATTTTAAGGAAAGCACTTTGAATTTAGACAGTACTTATTACATGGATAAGATAAAAACTTAAAACAGAAAATCATATTTTGGCATTGTTTTTACCTTTTCTCTAAATTGATTCTGAGATTGAGAATTTAAGGAGGAAATAACTTTTGTTTGTGTCTTTATCAAATAGTTATACACAAGAATTATGTTTATTTCCTGATTTTATGAGCAGAGCCTTTCTAAATGAGCCATGAAATATTCTAACCCCAATGAAATAAGACACATAATAGAAAATGTAATATATATGTATTATTTCATTCACTTCAAAGTCGCTCAAGAGAGTTGTCATTACATTGTTCTTGGCAGAATAAACCATATGACATCACACTATAATTAAGCGATTTGACAAGAGAGAATTTTATAGGTTTATATTTTCTTGGAAAGTACATTTTATTCTTACTTTCAGATTTATATTTTCCTGTGATATTTTTTCTCATACTACTTCCCTCCTCCAAATAGCTTATCAATAAAGAGTACACTCTGGAATTCATTAACACTATACAGAACTATAGAAAGGAAGAAAATATATTCACTAGCCAAAACAATCTTACATAGATTAACTATTTTCTTTCTCACCCCATTTAGAATGTTTATGTATTTTATTTGTAATACAATTAGGCTTATTTTTTAATATTTATATTCCATTTTGAATTTCCTTCACACTCTGGTTGATTTTAGTTTTATACTTATTTGGAAGGTATGTGAAATATTATCATGGTTCTAACACTTGATGCCATACAACAGGTATACAACACAGAGAAATGTCACTATCTTCTCATTCCTACCTCCCTCTTCCCATTACCCCTTCTTTCCATCCTGTTCCCATCCATCCCCTGAAGGTATCCACTCTCATTATTTTCTAGTTTTTCCTTACTGTGTGTCTTTTGCACAAAGGAGAAGGTAAATTCCTTCTTTTTTTATATGAATACTAGCACATTACGTATGTTCTTTTCTACTTTTGCAGTAATAATTTTAGACAAGTTTTTAGCCAGAGCCAACCACCCAACCATTTCCTTCACTCTCCCCCAAAGCTGCTAGGACTTTACAGAATCCAATTTTTAAACAACTTACTTATAGGATTAAATCCAAGTTGTTATCCTAGAAACAAATGGCCCTTCATGATCCAGCTCTTGTCTGTTTTTGGAGGCTTGAACTTCCTGCATGTGCTCTAGGAAAATCCCATGCTATTTCATGCATCGCTGTCTTTTCACATGGTGTTCACTCCAACCTTGCTAACTCGCACTCACTCTGTTTCTGCTTCCAGTGTCCAAATGGCAGTCTCCTTTTTTACCTTCAAGAGAAGTGCTGTCTTCTTTTTCAAAGCCTTCGTGACTGTGCTGGTTAGACTTAGTGGCTTCTTTCTCTCTCATTACACCTTATTTGAATCTTGGTTATAGCAATAAGAAAATGTTTTATTGTTTGTCTTTTCCTCTGTGATCTCTTTTCATCAGAATATCCTCAGTACCTATAGATATTCCCAAAATATTGATGAATGGAAAAGAAATAGAACCCTGTTTATTCCTCATTTGGGGTAGGCTCTCCACACAGAGGGGTGGAAATAACCCCTAAATTCCCAGTCATTGCCTGGAGTCTTGTTTCTACACACAAAACCAAGAGACCCTGTATCCATCTAAGTGTCGACATCATGACTACCCTGAGACATTGTTGTCATTCCCCTCTGCTAGAAGGGAACCACTGATATATCTGCTAGACCAGACTGTATACACTCCCTTAAATATGGAGATTTGTTCTGGGGCTCACTCTTTCAGCAACATAGTTTCTACTAGCCACAAACTAGTGTGTTCTTGCCTTCCATTCTTTTTCCTGCTGACCTACAATATTGAAGCATCAGCACACTTACTATTTCCGAGCCACTGAAAGAATTACACAGTCATAAATTTTTTTAAAATCTGAATCTAAATTTTGGTAATAAGATACATCTTTTTAGTTTTCTGTGTAGTTATCAGTACCCAGAACATTATCCTTGCTTTTCTTCTTTAGACAACAATGCATTTCAATACTGAAAAATAGTACTCAAAGTTTAAATATGATATGCCATTGAGTTATTAAATAGGGTGAACTGGTTAGAATTTATTTAGTTTAAGTTACATAGATTCAATTGAACTAGCTTGAGCAAAAATGATATTTATTATGAGGATAATGCATTTTTCACAGAATCAGGATAGAGTATGACTGCTGAATTCTCAGGAAAAAATGCTTAAACTTGGGACTTGAACACCACGAAGACTCAGTTTGTCTGCATATGTGTGTGTGTGTGCGTATGTGTGTGTATCTGTCTGTCACGGTTCTGCTTTTCTCTGTTTGTGGGCTTCATTTTTCCCTTTCACTAGATATTAGCTTTCTCCACATAGTGAAAAATGTGGCCATCAACAGCTCCATAACTTTTTATTAAATAAATTGACTTATTTATTTTTGTCTGTGTTGGGTCTTCGTTGCTGTGCATGGGCTTTCTCTAGTTGCCGCGAGTGGGGACTACTCTTCATTGCGGTACGTGGGCTTCTCGTTGCGGTGGCTTCTCTTGTTGCAGAGTATGGGCTCTAGGCGCGCGGGCTTCAGTAGTTGTGGCACGCAGACTCAGTAGTGGTGGCTCACGGGCTCTAGGGCGCAGGCTCAGTAGTTGTGGCGCATGGACTTCGTTGCTTCGTGGCATGAGGGATCTTCCCAGACCAGGGCTCGAACCTGTGTCCCCTGCACTGGCAGGCGGATTCTTAACCACTGCGCCACCAGGGAAGCCCAGTGCTTTAGTTTTATAACAGTTTAATTCTGATCTGTTTTTCATGTATACATTTACAGTTGAAACACAGTTTTTAAATGAATTTACTACACATACTGTGGTTCTCACAAGGTCTGACAACAGTGTAACTAAGGAAGAAGATGGTAAAAATGCCAATCAGGGGCTTCCCTGGTGGCGCAGTGGTTGAGAGTCCATCTGCCGATGCAGGGGACAGGGTTCGTGCCCCGGTCCAGGAAGATCCCACATGCTGCGGAGCGGCTAGGCCCGTGAGCCATGGCCGCTGAGCCTGCGCATCTGGAGCCTGTGCTCCGCAACGGGAAAGGCCACAACAGTGAGAGGCCCGCGTACCGCAAAAAAAAAATATATGACGATCAGAAGGAGAGGAATGTTAGGCCAACAAATGGAAATGCCTCTAGTAAGTAATGGTCTTAGTTAAACTCTAATGACAAGTAATACCTCTCATTTGTTTTCCAGAAGATTACCGTATTTACTCGTCAGGAATTTTTACTTTCAAAAAGTTCACCTAAGATTATATAATGCAGTTTACAAATTATTCTTTTTCTTGCTAATCTTTTGAATCCTCTGGCTTATATTCTAGAAAAGTGATTCACGTTGTGTAATGAGCAAATTATATCATTATTTAAGGTGATTTCAGAGAAGCTTATGGTTGGAAGTGACCATTTCAAACTTACATTCTATAAATCCCTGGTCATTCATCATCTACTCAAACTCTAAACGTATGAGCAGCTCATTATTTCATAAGGCCTTTCCTTCTTCATAGTGTTTTCTTTATAACTCTTTGTTTTATTCAATAATACTCTATTACTGTCTTCATAACAATCTTCCACATTTCTCATTACCTTTCTTTATGCCTTTGCATACTGTAATATCAGCTGTTTATCTTGCAAGATATCATTGCATTTGTTCATTCTGCAAGGTGTTGCTGATTATTGCAATATAATAGGAAAGCTATCTTGATTGTAATGTTATTCATGCATCTGGTTGCCTTACTAAATACTCTTATTTACACTATTTTTTATAGTTGAGTCTCTTCTTGATTTTATACGTAAAACATATTTTTTGCAAATACTGAGTTTGTCTCTCATTTACTTTCTTATAGTAACTAAGATTTAGTCTGTATTTATGATGTGCCAGCATTAGGAAAATATTTTTAATATATTATTTCATTCGATCCTCATAATAGCTATATATAGTAACTCTTCTTATTTCCATTTTACAGATGAGTAAACAGAGGCACCTATGGGTTAAGCAATCTGTTCAGATTTACAGAGTTTGTAAATTACAGAGGCAAGACTTGAACCTGAGCAATCTAATGGACCTGTCCCAGCTCTCAAACTTAGGCTGTGATTGTAGTGGCTGAGACCTCCAGTTCAAAGTGTGTAGGGATTGGAATAGCTTTGTTTCTTAATGGTTTCAATGGGAATTCTTCTCATGTTTCACCAGTGAATATGATATCACTGTAGGTTTCTGCTAGAATTTTCCTTTCACTGATTGCTTTCTCAGAATTCTCTCTAGTTTTAAGTCATGAGTGGGTTTTACATTTTATCAAATGCTTTTTCAGATCAATTATTACTTGCTACAATTTCTGTTAATGTTTCCATGGATTAACTTTCTCAGAATGTTTTGAACAAAAAAAATTGATGTATCAAATTACTTTTTAACATTATTTTATATTATTTTCTTCACTAATATCTTGATATAATTATGTTAGTTGAGATACAAGTCTATTTCATCCTGATGTGATAATATATTACACTGCTGCACTTGATCTGATTTAAATGAAATACTAGTATTTCATTTTAAATTTTTATGTATTTTCATAAATAATATTGGCTATAAGATTATGCCACTCTGACAAAATGTTTATGTTTCATCTCTTTGTGTGTGTTGCAATAGTTTTGTAAAATATTCTCTCCTTGAAATTTGGTTAATGTTTTTCCATTAGATAAGCTGTCCTGGCATCATTTTAGGAGGTTATTTTAGATTATTTTTCTATTTCTTTCAAAGTAATTTTTCTATCATCTACTCTATCTCTTCTTCAGTCAACTTAATCATTTATATTGTGCAAAAAAATCATTTGTCTCATTGAGGTTTCAAATTCTTAGTTTAAAATTATATGTAGTATTCTTATATGTTAAAATTCTTTTCATATATATAGCTTTTTCTGTTTTCTCATCTTCAAAGTAGTTTAGTTATATCTTTCCATTGTTTTTTTTCTGGATAGAACTTGCCAAGGGTTATCTATTTAATTGTTTTTTTCAAATAATCATTGAAATTTGCTTTTCTGTTAATTATCTGTTTGTAACTTTTCTTTGACTTTTTGTTGATTTGTAAGGGTACTTTACATATTCTGGCCACTGATCCTTTACATAATGTGTACTTGAAATTATCTTTTTTATCTCTATGGCTTGCCTTATCTATGTTGTCTTTTTATGCAGAAATATTAAAATTTTACGTAGTCAATATACTGCTTAATATTCTGTGTTATCTTGTATATCCAAATAGATTATATAAGTTCCTAGAAGGCAGGAACCATGTGATATCTTATTGCTGCACAAATCTTAGTATAGTGTTTATACAAGTAACAGACATTAAATGAAGGAATGAATTACCTAATGTTAAATACTGTGGGTAGAGCAGAGCATTAACAGATGTTATTGACTAACATTTCTTTTTCTTTTTTTGTTGTTTAGACATAAATTTGCAACAACTATCAACAGAACATTCACTAATTGATGCAAGCTCTATCCACAGTTCTGCAACTATGAAAAAGTTCTTGGATACAATTGACATCTCACACTTCTCATTAAAATCAGTCACAACTCTAATGAATCATTCAAAGAAGGCTATTTCCCATCAGATATCAGATTTTGAACATGTGGATCATACCCCCAGTACAAACCTCAGTCTGGAGGAGTTGGAAGTTCCTACAAACAACCGTAGTTCTTTAAGCATTAACCTGAATAGTTCCCATGGCGAAATAAAGGATGTTATCCAGGGCAGGATCCATCCAAACAGAGGCAGGAGGATATAACTCTCAAACTAACAGGTCTCCCCAAGGTTACACACAGTATAAGGATGGGTGTGCATCATCACTTACTAGAGCCATCGATATTTTGCCAGAAAAGCCTGGATTGACCAAAATATTAAGTTGTGCTGAATCCCCTTGCTTTCTTGGTGTTTCCTGCGTGCCAATCAAAGATGGGCACTTCCAATGTGGATGCTGCCCCTTTGGATATTACGGAGATGGTATCAAATGCAGAGGTAGTATGAAAACTCTTCAAAACTAACAAAGAAAAGAAAACTATCCAGTTCACGTTTAAGTACTTAAGAAGATTTGCTCTTCTATTGATTAATTTTTGTTTACTCTATTTAGTTCACTAACTTCTATTCATTTTATTTATTATTTGTGCATATTCTCTTCACATTTCAAAAAAATAATATTGATGTTTCTTAATTTTTTTCATAGTTAATATTAAATAGCATTACAACTATATAATACATTAGAAATATATGTATTAAGTATCTACTGTGTTTTAGGGCCTTTGGAAAAAATTTTGTATCAATTATGTCATATAATCCACAAGGACCCCACATACTGGGCATTATTTTTCCCATTATACAGAAGAGAAAGCAGAGCCTTACAGGGCTAACTGACTTTCCTGGCAATAAGCAGCTAGATATAAAATAATGGTGTGAATAACACTGTGGTTTGGGTTCTTTTCATCTCACAGAGGGTATTTAGCACTTTAAATTACTAATTCTGGCATATTTGCTTATTTGTATAAACTAGGTTTCTCTGTAATTCCTCCAGCACTTAAGAATAAAACAAGTTAGGCATCACTTTAATTTTGAAAGGAGTGTTTACTTCTTTTCATAATCATCAGCATTGTTTTCTTTGATACAAATCAAATTTCTGGCTTAGAAGCTACTTTTTGTTGTTGATATTGTTCTGTTGTTATTGTTTTGTTTGTGTTTTGATTTGTTTGAGACCAACTTAAGCAACAAAGCTGTTGGAGTATTCCTTTGTTCTCAGTTACCTAGAGGAACTTCATTTTTTCTTTCTTCTGTAGGAATAATGATAATAACCTTCAATTCTTACATGTTTATAGTATAAAACTCCTTATTATTAGCAAATAAAACAGAAAAAAACCTCATGCATTTCAGTTACCTCAGGAAGTGTTAAATGACTAATAGTTAGAATATGTCAGGTTGTTAGAGAAGCTTAAGAAATACGAACCTATAAGCTTATGATGTGGTCCTGGCATCTTGCTGTTTTACGTTCTGATTATCCCTGCCATTCACCAACATTTACCTAATTGGTATCTGAAACTTCATTGCTCTCTGAAAGACTGTAATTCCATTTATGGTTAGCAGCCATCTCCAACATCAGGTTTTGCTATGGGAGTAATTTCCTCATATGGTATGTTTTTCTTACCCTATTAATCATTTACCTCAGTCATTCTAGTAGTAAAACAAATATAAGGGGAAAAAATAATTTTATGGATGTATGCAGTCGTTACTGTTTAATAGCAATGTCCAAAATTTTCAATTTCAGAGAATTTTACTTTTATTATACAATTAAGCTTACGGGCAATGTGTACATACTGTATCTGTAATTCAGCCTTTTCCCTTGATTTCTGCAGCCATTTGTAGGCATCCATGTGGAAAAAACAGGGAGTGTGTTGCCCCAAACATATGTGAATGTAAACCTGGTTACGCTGGTTCTAACTGCCAAACCGGTAGGTACAGCACTCATTAGTTTGCATGGATAATTGATATTTCTAAACCATGAGCTTTATTCTATACAGCTATATGTCATCCTGATTGCAGAAACCATGGAAAATGTATTAAGCCTAACATTTGTGAATGCCCCCCAGGACATGGTGGAGCTACCTGTGATGAAGGTGATAATTCAAATTAAAAATCAAATAATAAAGCCAAAATAATTCAATCTTTTCTTTAAAAACTTTTTAAAGATAATTCACATTTACTGTGTACATATTAATATATACTTATTAAGGCTGGTGAGGGAATCCAGGTTTGTTAATATTTATTAAAAATAATTTATTGAAGATTTAAAAAACTTAAATTTACAAAATCAGAGGGCCAAAGAGCAGTAGCTCACTCATCCTGGGTAAAAGTATCTTAAGAAATAATTTTTTGTTATATTTTTAGTTATATGGTACCATATCCCTAACAAATATTTTAGCTTCAAACAAAGGACACATGCTTATTGAATAACTTGTCAAGCATGGTTCCAAGAAACTCTTAAATACCAAATAATTAGAAGATATCAGGTAGTAGGAAGAAACCTAAAAAATGATTTTTAAACACATGTCTATAGCCATATAATTTTATTGCCTTGGCTGAAATCTTAAGTGGAGAGTTTAGGAAATGGCATTCCTAAAATGGATAATATTTTAAGGAAACAAATTTGTTATTTTTTAAATAATATTTTAAAAGAATATATTTTAGTAGATTGTAGATGTATAATTATTATAAACTGAGAGCGATGTTAAATGTCTTCGTGACAAGGCAAGGCACAAATTAACAAATTACAGTAAACGGAGTGAACTAACAGAAACATTCAATATTAATTGCATATGAAAATAATTATAGGAATATAACTATCTGTAGGGCAGGAATGCCTAAGTCCAAGTCTCAATTTTCAGAAGAAACCTAAGATTGTATATTTCCATCCAGTTAACCAAAAGTTTTATAAACCAAAACATGCTGATGATTTATAGGTGTTTTTAGAGTGTGAACTCACAGTCAATCCCACAGAACTAAATTTCATGCTAAAATAGAACTGAGTGTACTATAAATTGCTCTTACCAGTAGGTTTTATGGTGGCTGTGCTTCATAAATATAAACTGACTTTTTCTTAATTAAGAGCTGACTTAACATAATCTGTGTCTGCAGAACACTGCAGACCACCTTGTCAACATGGTGGGACCTGCTTGGCTGGAAATCTCTGCACTTGTCCTTATGGTTTTGTAGGACCAAGGTGTGAAACAAGTAAGCAAAGCTCTCTTGCACTCTAATACAACTGCTCCTTTGAATAGCTGATTGCTTTAATGCTAACTGAGATAAACCCAAACGCTAAGCAAAAAATATACCTTCTTCCTGATCTACTATGACGATTACCATTCTGCCTACCAGTGGGAGCACTGGGTGCTAGTACTAAGATAAAGAAGCTTGTTCTTAGAAACAACTGTTTTCTTGACCCTATCCATAACCACTTCTTTGAGATAACAAGAATTCTAATTTGTTCGCTTGTATATAAATTTATCTCATTTAATTTATGTCTATGATTACTTTCATCAGTAACTAATAATTTTCCCAAATACCCAAATCTTGTTTACCATTCATCTGAGTGGGTTTCTACTTTCCCCGTGTCTATTAACAACAACAAAAATAACTGAACGTGAAAATTGGAAACCATTTAAAGCCAAAATATAAATTGTTTTTATCTCTCTCTGATCTTATTCATTAGATGATGTGATTGGCAGTTATGAGCAACTAGGTCATAACCAATAATATGACCAATTCCAAGCCTAATTTACCTTTCTTTTATTTTTATCCTGTGATCTTAGTAGTTTGTAACAGGCACTGTGAAAATGAAGGCAAATGCCTTACACCAGATGTTTGCCAGTGCAAGCCTGGCTGGTATGGACCCACCTGTAGCACAGGTAAAATCAGAAATATTTTCAATAAACATGTCGTTTAAAAGAAATTTTAAATTCATCAGTGTCCTAAGGACTTGCACCCAAAAACATAAAACTAGTCTGACAAAAACATAAAACTAGTCTGACAAAGTTTTTATTTCAGACAGATTTTTAAAACCCGATGTCTCATCTTCATTCTTTTTCTTCTTGTATTAGCCCATAGAGTGTATTCCAGCTTTACTGCTATCCAACCCAATCAATACTTTGCTTTTTGGCCTTTATTTTTCCCTCATCCGCTTGCCTTATAGCGGAGAGAGTCATATCTGTGTTGCATATTCAGGTCTCTTTCAAGTTTTTTATCACAACATACACATTCTATTTCATTAAACATTCAAGTAATTCTGAGTTAAGTGGACACCATAACATTATTCTATTTATTTCTCACAGTATCAGGCTTAATTCTTTGGCAGTGGTGTTTGCAATTATCTATGTTTAATTTAATCCATTAAGATCTAATGACTTTTCTCAACATATATTTAATTAAATGTTCATAGCTTGACAACTGTGTATGAAGCATGATGCAAGGGGGAACAAAGATCAATTTCATGTTTGTCCCAATTTCAAGTAGCATATCAGTGAAGGAGACATGGGATACAATTATAAAAAAGACTATGATACAAGTTGTGTTATAAGTGATGTAATAAATGCACAGCTCCTTGGAAGCAGAGAAAAGAGAAATTAATTCTGGCAAGTGCAGTTAAGAAGAAAATTGTGTAGACTTTGGAGAATTGGCAAAATCTGCATTGAAAAATGGAATTGGCGGTGACTTTCAAAGTGAAACAAATGTAAAGAAGGAAAAACAAAGCATGTTTTCGAAGTGTGCTAGGACTTAAATGCAGTGTTCCTATTTGAATTGGAAAGGTGACTTGAAGAGCTACACAAGGCTGCATGAAGTTGAGCAGATTACAGACTATCCTGTTTGTGCTGTTGAATTGCCTTCTCCTAACTTCCAATCATTTTTCCAGCTTACCGAGGGCATTCTGAATTCTAATCAAAGCCTCCACATTCTTAGCTTGGTAATATCTGTAAACTTAATGAACAAACTTTCAAAGCTATTATCCAGTTATTTCTCTTCTCTTATGTTTGGCAAAGTCTAAGTAACTATGGGTTTTACTGGCAGTGAAAATAAAATATTTCATTATGCACCATTTTGTACTTCAGTACAGCTTTCATTTTTTTTAAATAACAAAACGTTTATGGTCTTTCTTCCTCCTGCTGTTCATTAGCTTTGTGTGACCCGGTTTGCCTCAATGGTGGTTCCTGTAATAAGCCAAACACTTGCCTCTGTCCAAATGGATTCTTTGGTGCACAGTGTCAGAATGGTAATTACTCTTTCTTTATAAATAAAAAGGCAAAGGGAAAGTTAGACACAAACAGAGCTCTGATTAAGCACAAGATAAGTTTCAAAGGGAAGATGCTATTTATTTACTCTAATTCTTGTGCTGTTGCAGTTTTGGGCACCAAATGACCAGTTCACAGAAATATATGAGTTATTATGTAAAATGTTTATTTATTCAACATATGTTAGGCTCATGACCTTGGCACATTTGTAGGACCAAGATGTGAAACAAAAAGCAAAGTTCTCTTGCAGTCTTTCATGTGAAATGATGTAATTTTTGTTGCCTTCTCAGCAAAAATTTTTGATTTACTGTCAATCTAATGTCCACTGTTATCTCATGATCTCTCATGCTTTAGTTTCACTAAACACTTATGAAGAGCCACCTATGCACAGCACTGTGCAAGGTGATATGGGGACATAAAGATGTACCATTTTCCCCCCTCATGGCCTGTTATTTTAACACTTTCCTTCATAGAGTTAATGCTACAAGTTTTTTCAGAATAATGGGCATGACCTGAAGTTGAGCACATAGGCATGAAATAATGTCAGTAAAAGAAATTTTAAATGTATCTTCTGCATCTTCATATTTTTGAATGTATGCAAATATAGAGATTTTTAGTATAAAACATGTCAGAATATGTCATAATTTAACTCCTAAAATATATATTTTCTTTGTCTTGTTACAGTTTGATTTGCACTCCTATTTTTTTAACTTGGAGGTTAGCTAGGATTCTGAGATTGAAATTAATGTAGAGAAGAAACCATCATTCTAATACTAGAAATTTGAGCACACAAATGAGTTTTTCTAGTTCAGATTTCTGTTAAGAAACTAGGTTATGAAAATGGAAAGTTAAGACTAAATTAAGGCAAATCTTGAAAACTAGGAGACTTACTAAATGCATGTTTAAGAGTTTTAGGTAGGGTTTTGAGTGGAGAATATAAGGAGGTAAATAAAAAGCATGTCTATCATGCTATTTGCAGTAGACGTAAGATATAGTAAGAAAAGTTCTGTAAAATGTATATGCCAATGATATAACTGGGTAAAGCAGGGACTCTAAATTACTAAATTGAACTAAAAATTATCTAATGAACATATGTCATGTTATAGTTTTTGGAATTAGCAGTCTCTACAATTTCCTAGTGGCATGGATATCAGAAATTTACTTATAGTCTCCAGGCCTGACTTCTTTACTTTCAAGTTTGAACTAGACAGTTGCTGTCAAGTGCAAATGACACATACAGTGGACCACCTGCAAGTACAGTCAGCACATGGCTAGCTACCATTAAGTAATGGTATTATTGTCATAAGACATGTTACAGAAAGTGCAGAAGAAATGAAAACATGCATGATCTTTATTTTTATTAGATCACATCCCCTTGTGAGGGACTGAAGGGAAGGGAAGATGGTATACACATGGAAAGCCAGTGAATAAAATTAGGCAGAATATGGTTAAAAGTAATATGAGGAGTATATTCTGTGTATTCTATAGGATTTCAAAAGAGGAAGATAGACACTGAGCTGGAAACATCATGAAAGGTTAAACTACTCTATTAATAAGCAAGACTTAAAATGTGTGGCTGGAGAGATGACTAAATATATCTTCCAGTTTCCTTCATCCCTTAAATGCCATGAACCCATTCCATACAGAAAGTGAGGCCAGATTACTTGGCTCATTTTGGAGTTTGGTGGAAGATCCATCTGAGGCCTGGAGAATCTCATGAATATATACATGAAAGTGGGTTTTCTCCTAAACCTCCTTTTCTTAAAATGTGATTGGGGTGGGTATGACCGAGCCCAAGTTTATGTCATTTCTCTATATTACTTTAATTATATATACTTTTCTGTATACATGTAGTATTTATCTCTACACTCAAGTTTTGTAGAGTAGATGAGTATTGATTATAACAAGGCTATCCATTACAAAAGGGTCTTTTATTCTTTTCAAGTTTTAAATTTCTAACCACAGGTATTTCCCATAGTGCTTTTGTAATGGAAAGAATACACCTTTCTTAATAAATAGAAATAATCTTAAATTGTATAAAGATTAAGAAGCAGAAAATGTAAGAGCATTTCTCCATAATAAAAAGTACCAATAAAAATGCCAGAGAAAGTAAACTCAATCATTAACCAGAAAAGGCTCAGTCTAAAATAGTGGAAATTATCCATTTGCTGAAACATTCAGTTAATATTGTTTTTATACGTAAGTACTTCATTATTTTCACTTATAAATCTATTTGAAATCAGTTGAAGTTTTCTTAGTGTTTGGAAATTTAAAAAGCAGCTATTAAAGATGGATCTAATTCAATTCAAATGGGGAGTCTGTCTACCAAGGCCCTATTACCAAAACCAGTTAGTTTGACATTCACTTTTAAAACACAAACTAAAATCCACTTAACCATCATTTAAGGAAAATTAAATTAAAAATGTATAGGCAGGTTTGCCTATGTATTATTGCTTTTTAAATAACCACATTTAATTGTCATATCAGTAAGAAATATGAAGCAATAAAAATCCTCTCATAAAAGATTATAAACATTAACTTCTGAACTCCATGGAACAGAATCATATACATAGAAGATACTAGTACAGTGTATTCAGGATTATCCAATAAATATTCCTGACAAAACCAAAGATTTATTGTTAAAAAGATTTTTCGCCAGGCATTCACAGGAATAAGTCACATATAAAGCTCTGCCTTCGTGACCTGAGTAGGTATCCAAAAGTTAACTTCAAAGTTTTTTCTAAACATCATGTGACCAATGTTGAGTTTTTCTAATTTCCACAGGAACAGATATTCTTATTTTGAGCTTGGTTTTGACTTATTTTCTTGGTTTTTCCCAGGTCATTTCACTCTATATGCACTCTAATACTGAAGGCTCCACTGGTTATGAACAACACATTTCATAATTCACCAATACATTTCAAATTGTGCTAACCCACTAGCAACTTACAGCTATAAGCATTGTATTTTATGACTTAGAAAGGACGGTTTTAATGACTTGCAGTGGTGATCTTTTAATAACACATTTCTCTGCCTTATGTCCCCACAGATATAAGCACATGATGCAATATGTAATATATAATAATTGAATGCGTGATATTCACAGATTGCTGTCATGTGTTCCTTTAGCTATCTGTCACCCTCCCTGTAAGAATGGTGGGTCACTGCATGAGAAAAAACGTGTGTGCCTGTCCTCAAGGATACACTGGTAGGAGATGCCAAAAAAGTAAGACACTACTAAATGTGTTTGCCAACTACATGTAAAGCAAACATATTAAACAGCAAAACTATTGATATCAAAGAACTGATATTTCATCCCTTTACCTTAAGGTATCTGTGATCCCATATGCATTAATGGAGGATAGTGCGTGGGACCAAGTGTTTGCTCTTGTCTTTCTGGCTGGACAGGGAAACAGTGCAACACACGTAAGAGAAATACTCTTAAAATGCTGAAGTCTACATGGGAACATAAAGCAGAATTTCAGACAAAGAGCATTTTCCTTGTTTTCTGTTTCCTTGTTTTTATTTTTTTTATTTGTTCCTACTTTAGAATATATCTTTTCGAAAGAGAAAGGGTGAAATGCCAAGTTCTCTGAACTCATCCTTTCAGGTTAGTGGAGGTAGAGGATATCCTGTATTTTCCGGTCTGTTCAGTACAGTTGCCAGGATAAATGACAAGTCTTTAAGTCCTGGTCTCTCAGTCTTAAGTAGGAGTCAGGGGAAGGTTTTTAAAAAATTACTGATCCCTTGGTCCCATCTCAGGCCAATTCAGAACCTCCTGAGATGGGGTACCACTGCTTTTGAGATGATGGCAGCTCTCCTCATTCAAATGTTTTTTTTCTTTTTATAAATTATTATTTAAAATTAGCAGCTATTATAACGTATTGGCGAAAGTGTAAAATGAGAAGCAACATAAATGTCTAACAATTGGGGAAAAGCTTTAAGGGAAAAGATCCTTTAATCATTGATTTTTAACTGTTTCTCTTTTTTTAATGAAAATTTTTATGGTTTATGATAGGATTTGACTAGTAAATTAAATTATTAACTTGTTTATTTCTCTACTTGCAGCTATCTGCTTTCAGAAATGTAAAAATGGTGGTGAGTGTATTGCTCCTAGCATATGCCATTGTCCTACGACATGGGAAGGAGCAGTGTCAAATACATAAGGCTACAGAATTTGCTTTCTAGTCTATGTTCTGAATTTGAATCTATTATAATTATCAAACAAAGTATAGCTTTAGGAGAAATATATAGGGTAAACTAAGTCCCAGCATGCTGATCCATTAAAAAGAGAGTTCTAGAAATAAAAGGATATCATCCATTTCTATACTCATTTAAAAAAAGAAAGTATGGTATATTATATTAATATTTTGTGTGACACAGATAACTCCAAATTACGATCTGTGGGTTGCCAGTGAAGTTCTCTTAGGTGGACTGAAGAAGGTTTTTTTTTTTATTTTAAAAGATCTTTCTTTTTCCTCCAGTTTTATTGCAATATAATTGACATTCTGCACTGTATAAGTTTAAGGTATACAGCATAACGATGTGACTTACATAAATCATGAAATAATTACCACAATAAGTTTAGTGAATATCCATCACCTAATACAGCTACAACATTAAAGAAACAGAAAAAAATGTTTTTTCCTTGTGATGAGAACTTTTACTTTCTTAAAACTTTCATATATAATGTATAGCAGTGTTAATTATATTTATTGTGTTGTATGTTACATCCCTAGTACTTATTTAGCTTATAACTAGAAGTTTGTATCTTTTGACTATTTTCATCCAAGGGGGAATTGGATAAAGAAGGTTTTAATATAAGTTTAAATGTTTTTCCATATTATAAGGTAGGTATATATCTATCATGGAAATTATAGAAAATATGAAAAAGTTTTTATAAATTAATCACTCCAAATTCCACCACCCAGAATCAGTTTCTGCCTTGATTTTAGCATTTTAGTTATTTCCGCTAAGTTTTAGTCATAAATTTTTACATAGATGGGATCACAGGGTATAAAGGAAAATCAAATTTAATGCAATTATGAAATTTATGAAAACTTGAAATAACATGTTAAAATATTAACAAAGATTAATAATTCAATGGGAAAAATGGAAAATCTCCTCAAAATATTTTCAAATGCTCAATAATTACATAATATCAAAACTGGTGATCCAAGTGTATTGTAAACTGAAATAGCACAATTGTAAAATGACTGTGCCTTTTTACTAGAAATACCTGCTCTGCTTTTCATGTATCAGAGATTCTGCATATAATTTTTATGACTCTTAGACTTTATTTTATTAGTAATTGCTATTATAATTTACACATTTCTCATCCTAGGAAAATATTTTCAAAGACTTCATTAAGTACTAGTACTTACATAAGAATTATGTGCTCAAAAATAAATAATTCTCATTGAAAGTTAGATGGGATAAAATGCTAGAAAAAAGAACTAGCAACCTCAGTTTGAGCTACTCATTCTGAAGAGAGTTTGTATGGAACATGAGAGAGAATGATAAGATGCTAAAAGCACATTAATGTGGAAATGTGCTCCAGTAATTGTGGATTAAGGTACTCTGAGCACAGCCTGAAGATGTGCACCCTGTTTTTGCACCTTGTGTTTGCACCTTGCACCTTTATGTGAATTTTTTGAAGTCCCCTTCCTCAAAATGCTTTACTTCCATCTGTCTGGAAACAGTCTAAATATTGATGATGTTATTTATAAAAGATGTCTTACTGCCATCTTCTGGAAAATTGTTGTAGTAAACATTTGAATCTATGATGTCTGTGATATGAACAGTGCTTCCTTAGCTGTGGAACCTTGTACATTACATAACCTGCTCAGCCATACACAATAGCTCTGGTGAAAACATACCTTTCAATGTTGCATTTATATTAAAGGGAATATTATTCTTGAATTATGCAAGCTTCCAATATGAGCTCTTGAAACAGATACCTCTCCCATGAAAAATAACTGTATTGTATATAATTTTATATTCCTATTTTTAGTCAATATTACTTAAAAGCATTTCCATGTCCTTAAAGATGTAATTTTAAATGATATGTTAAATTCCATAATATAAATACTATAATTCACTTGACCTTTCCTCTCATATTGAACATTTCTGTTATTTACAAATTGTTACTATTATAAGCATTTTTCTCTGTAGGTGGGTAGATAGAAAGAAAGAAAGAAAGAAAAGACAAAAGATAAACAGATACAGGTATTTAAAAATTGCATAGGGAGAGATTTTAAAGAAGAAATTTCTAGTACAGGTAGTGTGAAGATCTTTAGGAAGCTTCCAATAGAGTTGTTTCACATTAAACTTCCATTGATAGTATATAAAATTGTCTGTTTTTCCATACATTGGTCAGTACTGAATTGTCCCTTTTAAATTTTTGCTAAAAAAATTTTCATTAAAAAGCAAATTATGAATGCTATCATATATTACTGATTTGAATCTTCTCTCTATAGAAAACAAAAAGGTGTATTTTAAATACTTTAAAATGTAGCCAATGAAAATTTTGTTTGCTTTAATAATATCTTTATAAAATACTGAAACTGCTGTGTTGAGTTTGGGGGTGTTTTGTCTTTTGATATGTGTATGTATGTGTGTGTTTGCACGCTGGCTGCAGAAATACAGGAGTGCAATTGGTCATTCACAGATTCTTATGACTATTTTTATAGTCAAGTTGCTGAATGGCTTCAGACCACTGGAATAGAATATGTCACAAGCATTTATGTCAAAAGGTGGTAACTGTAAAAACTTGTGTATTGTAGCAAGCTGCTGTCAAAAGTGTCTTTATGGAGGCAGATGCGTACTCCCCAACATATGTTCTTGCTGCACTGGATATACTGGAGTCAAATGTGAAAAGAAAATACAGGTATTTTACATTTTAAACAAAGTATATGTTAGATATCGACATACGCCATCTACTCAGATATTCTACTTAGTGATTTTTACCTATCTGTTAATGTTTTATTTTCTTTTACTTCCAAAATAGAAAACATACAAGATTTTTCTATTTGCCCCCAAAACTAAAAGTAACATCATTCTTGTGTCATTATAGAGTTATCTTATTATTCAAAATTTTGATGTGCACTTAAGGAATTTCAGTGTGTAGATAACAACCATTAAACATAATGCAATATATCATGGCACGAGAGCTGAAAGAAAGCAAATATCTCACAATATGAATTTAAGACATTAATAATTTATATTTGGTCAAATACTAGGTAAAAAGACCACCTTCACCCTTTAAAAAAATTCCCCACTTTTATATCAATGAATCACGACTTCATTGATTTTGGTGGGTGCGTGTTTCTAAACATTTTCAGTGGATCATATGCCACTGAAGCCTTGAATATCCTCATTCTTTTCCCTGATAGTAGTTCTCTCTTCATTTACTCCCTATTAAAATCCATTTCAGGGAAAGCAATAAAAAATTCTTCATATCATTACAATTACGATTTATTTGTATTTGGAAAATCAAGAAAGCAAAGGAAGAAGAAAGGCTTTCTTGCAGTTTCTGAAGTTGCCCCACACTTAACTTACAAGGCCAGTGCTATGTAAACATCTGTTTTAAAAGTTTCTGTGATCATATCGGTACTTATAAAATGAAACTGAATTTTTTAGGTCTCCAATCTTAAATTTCTAAATATCAATAACCAAGATATTTTTTCTGTCCTAATTCCTACATATACCAGGGTGACTCTAACGATCACACACACACACACAAAAAAACAGTTGCAGCAGAACTCTCCAAAAATTTCTTAAAGTTAATCTGTATTAGATTTAATTTAAAAAGCAATTATAGGGACTTCCCTCATGGTCCAGTGGTTAAGACTTCGCCTTCCAGTGAAGGGGATGCAGGTTCCATCCCTGGTCAGGGAGCTAAGATCCCACATGTCTTGTGGCCACAAAACCAAAACATAAAACAGAAACAATATTGTAACAAATTCAATAAAGACTTTAAAAATGGTCCACATCAAAAAAAAATCTTTAAAAAAAAACACAATTATATGCTATTTAGCACTTCAAAAAACCCAAGGGTCATGAATATCAAACTATGCTGGAGTATTATATTTTGAAAAATGATAAGGAATTTTCTTCCCGAAGCAAGATACTGAATCAGTCTGGCTTAGAGGCAAAGTGGATGTATATATATGTTTTTCTTCTAGCACTGGTGTTCATCCTGTAAGGATATGTCCCCCATTTTGAAAAAAACAAGATTATAATAGTACTATGGTTTGAAAACTAGGAAACAAAAGTTATTGACTAACTATTTGATCAGCTATTGTTGAGAAAAATAAATATAAAAGTTTGAGTTACCTGGGTTTGAAGGCAGCCTAAATATAATTTTTTTTATTTTATTTGAGATTTTTATGGCACAGAAAACCCTATGACCTCAAAAGCTTTTAACTCCACTTTGACAGACTAAACTAGGTTACTTCTCTATATTCTATTTTTATGCCTTTCTTTACTGCCTGAATCCTTCCTCATGTGATTAATAGCAGATCATCCTCATCCCCATTAATGTTGCTTCTGAGACTGCATCTGGAACCATATTAAGGAAAGAAGAACAGAAGGTCATGGGGAAGGAGAAGGAAAACAAAGCAAAAAGACTAGCCCAAGGACCACAAGTCCTGCTTTACTATAACCTGCTCTCCCAAGTTCTTATGGATTGCTAGAATTTCAATACAAGAGACCAAGAATTACTGGCTAGAAACAAAAGACACAAATAAAGAGGAAATGGGGAAGGATGGTGCTAAAGAGGGTGGGTTGATGAACAGCTTTGAGAGGTTTCATAACTTGCTGCCTAGCTGCTAAATGTACTTACCATATCCCTGCCACTTGTTTGCTCTGTGACCTTGGGCAAGGTACGCCACCCTGACCCTTAATTTTTTTCATCTGTAATATGGAGCTAATAGTAACACCTATCATGGGGTTGTTGTAAGGATTAAATATGTTAATATATGTGAAGTATCTAGAACAGTGCCTGGTATGTAGAAAATACTATGTAAGTTCGTTGGTAGTTGCATTGAATAGAGGAATAGAGAGAGGTGGAGAAGGACAATGATGGGCAAAGAGACTTGAGAGAAATGTTGCAATGTGTTATGAATATCAAAAGTCGTTTCCTGAAGGATATAAAAAATTTTATTTGGTTTAATTGAGCATGGATGTTTCTTGAATGTAACTCTGCCAAGATGGAGTCATGTAGTATCCAAGCTCCATTCAGTCACAACTGTTTTGACATTTAAATATGATCTTGATTAGATCTCTGTTTTATGAAAGCAGTACTTAGTCTCTAGTGGCAAACACAGAACCTGAAAGAGCTTTATGTATCATGTCACGGGGAAGGAAGTAGCAAATAATGAGTCAGAGTTAACTGGTTTTTTAATATTCTTTGAAACTTGATTTCCCTCTTCCTACTACAGATAAAACACCATTGAGTAATATCAAGTATAAGAATGGAAATTTTTATTCAGAAAAAATTGAAGTTAACTACTTGAAGTTTATTTGAACATCATTTTTAAAGCTGTTTTAAAGGCTGAAGAAACTAATAAATACAGACTGGTCTTAGTTGTTAGAGAAAAGCAAAGAAGAAATCCAGATAATCAAAAATTTACTTTGAAATGTAATTTGATATTTACATATTGAAACGATGTTTCTGATATTCCTGACATTCACAATATTTAATAAACTGAACATTTTCCCAGTCCTTACTGTGATGGTGTTTTTATTATCATGGATCAGTCAGCATAACAGAAGCCATTTGATGTATCCAGATATAAAGTGTTAATGCGGAATTAGGGACTCTCAGGACTGTTGGAAGAGCTGGGGTAGAGATGGGGGAGGACAGGGTAGAGGTCAGAAAGCAGCTGCTGAAGGTCAGAGACTGAGAATGAAGATGTCAGCCTGTTTCCAAGCATCCAGCTGCAAACACCTCTAAAAAAATAATGGCTTCCTATTCATTTCCATCTTCTAACTCTCTAGAAAGTTTTTTTCATTGGTGAACTCTAACCCAGAACCACACAAAGAAGGGGATTCTGGAAAATGTAGACCCTAGCCTTAGAAGGAAGTGACAGTGGTGCCAAAGGGACCAAAGTGAGCTAACACAAGACATAATAAAAGTTCTGCATCTTATTGCTTTGGACCGTATTCCAGAGATAAAGCTAATACTTTTCACTGATAAAACATCATATTTAGTTTCATCTGTTTATTTTTCACCTCTACTCTTTCTGATGCTCTGACCTGTACCATTTCTGGACAGAGGGGAAGAAATAATGTAATTGGGTGTTTTAAAAGACTTACTTAGTCATTGTGTTTACGTGAAAATGTCTTTTATTTATCTGTTCTTTCAGTACCTTGATCTGTTTTGGTGCAGAAGCAAGAGAGAAACTATCACAAAATCAAATCCTTCTATAAATATCAAAAGAGAATTGGATGCTTAATAAAAGAACATTTAAATGACATGATTGTTGAGGAAGTGGGAATGTCAACAGGGAATATACAAATAATTGAAAGATCTGTCTCAGAGATGAAAATAATTACACGTTAACTAGAGTTATAAAACTTCCTTTTCTCTACTATCTTATATTTGACCTCAAACTTTTCATTATCTTTTCCAAAAAACATTTTAATTTGAACATGCCTATTTTAAATCATGTAAGTTTACAAAACTCATTTTGTTCTTTTAAGTGGAAAGACTAAGCATTTCTAAGCCATGTCTAAAATTATAAGATAAAGTAAGACATTATTAGAATAAAATTATTGCTAAATTTGATAAGAATCTTTTTAAGTAATAGCATTCAATGTCACAAAGAGATTTTATCATTTCATATTTGCTGAAAGGTAGTTTTAAAGAATCATTTAAGAGAATATAACATGTTTTACTATGTTTTATTTTATTACCAAAAATACAGAAATATAAATGCAAAATAAACCTTTGACAATTAGTGTGTGCTTAAATTTTTAAGCTGCTGTGAAAATATGAATACTAGAAAGAAAAAAGTACTCTAGATAAAAGTGCATTTTTTTAAGTTAATAATTAGAATTGAAATTCCTACAAAAACAGTTAAATGAAATAGCTATAATTTTTAAACTGTTCCTGCCTCCTTTGCTGAGTATACAATATTGCAATTTTATTAGTAGCTTTACTAAGTTGATCTTCAGTGTACACTTTTTATGGTTAAAATGTTATAACAGCTCAAGTATTTATTCTGAAATGTCTAAACCAATACTTTAAAATCTTCATAAATATTTCCTAGATCCACACCAAGAATCCCAAGCTACAATTAAAATATTAATCAGTAGACTATGCATTTATAATAGATTTAATGGACCTGAATATGCTAATAATGAAGAAATGTTATGGTTTACAGTTTACAGATTTTATATAAAAGCACTCCTTATGAAAGCTAATGACTCGTGAAAATGGAAGTAGTGTTTTAGAAATATAATGTGAGTTTTGAAAAACAAGTAATTTGATAAATTTATGAAGAAATTTAATTTTTTCTTACTTCTCGGTTATATTTTCACATCTATTAACTTGAACATTTTTTTAACCAAAATCTATTTGGAAAATATTTTGAAGATAATGAGTGTTCAAGATTTTAAGCAAAAGTACTTTAAAATGTGTAACTTTCAATGTTTACCTTATAAGTCATTTTCCATAAAAGAATTCAGGTCTTAAACCTTAATATGCCTGGCTATTCTGTGTTTATTCATGTTAACATTTAAATGAAATGTTTGAGTTATCAAATATTCTTATTCTTTCTTTGGCCCTCTAGTGTTGGGAAGACCTAGGTTTTAATTCAACCCCAAATCTTCACTCCACCTCTTCCCAGTTATAGGGACTTGCATAGAGAGATTTACCTTCCTCTATATTTAATTCCTTCATTTGTAAGATAGGAATAAATAATATTTACTTCAGAGGATTACTGGGTAATTTTAAATTTAAAATGAGATAATTATAAATAATTTTTCACAATGACTGTCATCTAATAAATGCCCAGTGCATGGGTTTTATTATATGTTTTTTGTTGCTAAAAATGAATATGTGGAACCAGCTGAGGAAAAGATGACAGGTAGACTTCCCCTATTTTATTATTTTTTTTATTTTACTTCCTCAATGATTACTGTATATTGGTGTTTCTTGTTCCCTGATTAAAGAAAGAATTTACTTTTAAAAAGCACTGATTAAACAACATGTACATTAAAAGCAAGATAAAATAAGTGAGTGCAAATTTTAAATCAACTCTGGCAAACAGTTATTCAGAACCAGCCTAAAAAGGCTAAAAGTGGCAGGCATATAATGACTAAAATTTGTGAGCTCCATGTGTGCCAAGCTGATTCTAAGTGGTTTGCCAGGGTTAAGCTGATAACACCTCCTATTTACTCCTTAAATAGCAACTATGGATGTTCCGTGAGAATAAAAGAAAGGGCAGACAAACTAGATGACATTTAAATTTATATTTTTTTTGTAAGGACAGTCTTGTCCATCATTGTGAAAACAATTTCAAACTCAGCTGTAAAGTTTTTAAAAATTGTTTCTACTGCCAGATGAAATTAGCAGAGTTTTGCCTGCAGATGGTGCTAGATCCTCAGTTCCCAGGTAACACGCAAGAAGTGCAAAACGACCATTTAGTAAGAGAGCACATTAAATATTTAATGCAAACGACATTTTTCAAAAATAAACTGCTTCACTAACACAACAGTCTTTCTTGTGAGCCTAGAAGTCTTCCTTACACCTAGTGATTAATCAATAATTACAGCCACTTGGCTGACTGCAGTTAACAATTCCCATTGTGCTAGTAAGGGATGAGTTGCATTTGAAGATTTGGTGACTTAATCTCTATGAGATTTAAATTGCTGTGAGAAGTATTAAGGTAAGCAGAAAACCTTTTGTTTTTCATACAAACATTAAACTTGGAAAATTCTAGCAATTAAAATAGCCAGTACTTTCAGATATTTCAAAATTATACCTCTTTTTTTTTTTTCCTGTTACTGACAAATAATCATAAGTGAAGGATAATGGATATTCTCCTTCTTGGAACCATAATTTTATCTGATGTAAGTAGGGTCCCCCCAGTTATATGTCTTACATATGACAATACCTGGAAAGTCATTGACTTGAGACACTAGGAACTTGAGAAAAGTATTAAGGATTACTGAACACAATCATTATAGTGAGAATAATTCCACTTTATTTCCCAATTCCCTCAGATAGACAGAAATATAAATAGACCAAACATACATAGATTCTGATATCAAACTTAAACCCTGCTCACCAAGGAATTGTCCTTGCTAGTGTGGCCAAGAGATACTGCTATGGTCTAATTTAGATTCTCATTCTAAGATCTCAGGATCTTCATTTGCATTTCCTTTACTGCTTTGGTTCAGTGTTGCCTGAGCTGGGATGCTCCTCTCTTGGTTGAGGGCTCTGATTCTGAATCAAAGGAAATTCTTAGGATTTGCTTTTCCATGGCTCCAAGTTGTGTTTTTAGCCACCAAGACCTGTCATTCATTTCTAGGCAAGATCTTGATGATGCCTCCTATGTTACTTTATTGAGCAGGCAGCTGCAGG